TATTAGAATTACTTTTTAAGTGACAGTAACAATTGCTGATGAGGAAGTGAAGAAATTGAAACATGCATTGAATGCTGATGAGAATGTAAATGTGTACTGCTACTTTTGAAAACAGTTTAGCGATTTCCTATGAAGCTAAACGTATATTTACAATATGATACAGCAGTGCTAGTTATTAAACCTGTCTACAAATAACTTCAACAGTTTCATTAATACAACAGACCTTGAAACAGTCCAAATGTCATTCAATAGATGAATGAATTTGCTGTAATACATTTGTAGGAATACTACTCTGTAAGCAAAAGGGAAAAACTACTGATGACACACAACACACATGAATCTTAAATGCACTAAGTACAAAAAGCTAGCCTCAGGAGGCTATATAATGTATGATTTCAGTTATATGGTAGTCTATAATAAATTCAAAATTATACAAACAGGCCTGCACTGTGGCTCACTAGGCTAATCCTCCACCTGCGGCGCCGGCACACTGGGTTCTAGTCCCGGTCAGGGCGCCGGATTCTGTCCCGGTTGCTCCTCTTCCAGTCCAGCTCTCTGCTGTGGCCCGGGAGTGCAGTGGAGGATGGCCCAGGTGCTTGGGCCCTGCACCCGCATGGGAGACCAGGAGAAGCACCTGGCTCTTGGCTTCGGATCAGCGCGGTGCGCCAGCCGCAGCACGCCGGCCACAGCAGCCATTGGGGGGTGAACCAACGGAAAAGGAAAAGCTTTCTCTCTGTCTCTCTCTCTCTCTCTCTCATTGTCCACTCTGCCTGTCAAAAAAAAAGGTAAAAAAAATTATACAAATAGATCAGTGATTATCAAGAACTTTTGGCTAGAAAGGTTGGTTTTAAAAAGGTAGCATGTAGGACATTTTTTGGAATCATGGAACATTTCTGTGACTTATTGTGGGGAGCAAACCGGACTAGACTGAGTTACTGGAATTAAGACTTATTCTATGCATCTGCTCTCCCACAATATGGCGCTGGGAGAGAAGTAAACAGCTTCCGCACAGCTGCCTCCAGTTCAGCCAATGAACTGTAGGACTTGCTCCTGATTGGAGAGCAGCGTACTCGGCATGTGGGCAGCCGAGTTAGGATTGGCGGAGGAGGACTATAAAGGAGGAGAGAGACGGCATGCACCAGGAACATCTATGGGGAACATCTAGCTGAAGGAACACCTGTGCAGCCCCCGAGAAGAGCCGGCCGGCGGTGTGCCGCTCCCCTGCGGAAGTGGGGAATGTGGCCAGGGGGAACTGCCCTTCCACGGAGGTGGAAGGGATAGTAGCCAACCCGGGAAGAACCAGCAGCAAACCCGGGGAGGGCCGAGCAGACGAAAGAACAGCGCAGGGTCCTGTGTTGCTCCTCCACGAAGAGGGGGAGCGACACTTATTTGTCACAGTGATGGTTTCACAATTACATACTTTTTCTTAACTCATAAAATCTTACATAGAAAAATGTGGAAAATTAAAAGCAAACAATAATAGAAGATAAAAAGGACAGCATTAAAATAGTCATGTTGACCGAGATAAAGGTGTTCAAAGTGTTATGTTAATTTCAGCAACTCTCTTTATAAACAAAAACATTTGAATTCAAATGTTCAAATATTTAATACTGAAGAGAATTGTTATATTGGCAATAGTGAGGATTTTACAGATTCACTCTATCTTTAAAATCAAGTTTTTCATGAATGATTACTTATAAGAATTTTTTTTAGTACCTTTTAAATTATTTACCAGCTAGGACACTGTTAGGGCATTGATCTTCTTTTAAGTATTGCATCAAATAAATTGGGACAGGGTTATATAGAAATGTATCTGAAACATTTCCATGTGAAAATACAGACAGCCTTAACTGTCTGGAACCCCTAAAGCAATAGTCATCCTAGAAGCTTTATTTTTCAGCTACTTCTGAAGCAATATATCTAAAATTGTTCTGCTTGCTTGAATAGCACATACTGAACTAATTTAATCTTTCTTCAAAGACACAAAGTGCTCCTTAAAGTGCTGAGCCCTAAACCTGAGAGAGACATGAGAAATTCCACTCCTGGGTATGATAGATAAACTGGAAGTTTGAATTGTACTAAACACACAAATATGTTACAACTTTACCGTGCTTTACAATTAAGAAAAATGAATTCACATATCCTAACTTATTGGTAGTAATCCAGGGTGGTAGGCAAACCAAGTTGTATAATCCAGCATTTTACAGATTGAAAAACAGATGTTCATATAAATTAAATTACTTACCGAATAGTCAGAAGTGGAACTTAACATTAGAACACAAGTCATTTTATTCTTATGGGCTAGCATCTGCTGAGTGAGCAGTATGATGTGGAAGACTATGAGACTAAGAAATCTTGGAGTAAGGCTAAATGACTTGTTACTTCAGTGTTTAATCTACCGATTAAGCCACTCTTCACATTACAACCAAGTGGACCTCAATTTGTATGGAATCAACGGCTTGTCATTTTATCTTCCACATTAATAAGAACCCAATTTTAAAAGTGAATATTTTTTGAAAGAAAAAAACCTCTTCTTGTTTTTTTAAACAAATGATTAAGAAATTTGGCTGTCAAAGTTGGTGCTGTGGAATAGCAGGTAAAGCCATGGCCTTCAGTGCCAGCACTGCATATGGGCTCCAGTTAGAGACCCAGTTGCTCCACTTCAGATCCAGCTTCTGCTATGGCCTGGGAAAGCAGCAGAGAATGGTCCAAGTGCTTGAGCCCCCGCACCCACATTGGAGACCCAGAAGAAGCTCCTGGCTCCTGGTTCCTGGCTTTGGATCAGCTCAGCTGCTGCTGTTGCGGCCATTTGGGGAGTGAACGAGAGGATGGAAGACCTCTCTCTCATTCTGTCTATACCTCTCCCTGTAACTCTGTTTTTCAAATAAATAAATCTTTAAAAAATGAAGAATTTTGGCTGTGCTGCCATTTAATATCTTGCCCCTTCGTAGACCAAGATAACTAGTGCGAGTAGAGATAATGACAAGGCATGTTACTCAGATGGGGTTATCTTGTTGTGGTAAAGAATGTTTAATTTGAAGGAAAAATAGTAGCTCTCATGAACAAAGTGATCCTACTGCCACTGTCTTGAAGGGAAAAACTAAAAACCCTGTGGTCAGGGTTGTAAACTACAGAAATCTGTTAAGTACTCAGTCACTTAGGTTTGGCTACTGGTTATCAGTGGTGAAAGACTTGCTGTGCTTTTGCAAGGTTCATATCATGCTTGACTAAGTGTAACAGCTACAGCTAGCCAATAAGAAAACATCCCTATATCATAAGGGAAGATATCATCACACTTGGGAATCACCCATATCTTGCACTCTAGGCTGTTTGCAGCAAGAACAGCTTTGTAGAGGAGCATCAGAGCCATTGCCCTGATTGTTCCTGTTAGTGAATTGAAGTTTACCACTCTTCAAACCCATTCCAAAGTAAATTGATTCAAAAATCAGCACCAGAGAAGGAGTTTCAGGTATTTTTACCTCTATCTTCTAATTTTTTTACTGACTGTGCCTGAGCCATTTAGGAAAAATAATCCAGAACTGCTCAGGAAACTGACAACCACAATAATAAAAATTTCTTTCCTATGAACTGTGCCTATTAACTGATCCAAACATCCCTGAAAACTTGGCCAAGTTGCATATAAGAGATTTGTACTCCCACATTAGCGTACTTGAAGAGACCCCTCTTCAGAAAGTCAGTGGAGACCTTTGTTTCTGTGGATTTCAAGGAGAAATTCAACTTTTATCTTTCCCTTGCCCTCTCCTACATCTGATTTTTTCTAATCAGTTCTCTTAACATTTTATATGGAGAAAGGTGTGAGCAAGAGAGAGTCAGGTGTACAAATTGTAGTGGATGGCTGCATGACTGTCTTCAATTTCCTTGTTAGACTGCTATATTTTTCAGCATATTAAAAGAAAGGGAAATTACTTTTTATTTCCATGTCAGTGTAGTTGGTTGTTTTTATACACATGTACCAGAAAATTTTCCATTTGCTTTGGCTCGTAGTGTTTTTGTTGTTGATGTTTTCCTAATTTTGAAGGGACACTTTCTTTATGAAAGGTTTTCTTTCTGTCAACTTGTAGAAATAACAATTTCAGTGTGACAAGTTTTATAAGAATATGAAATTGCCTTAATCTAATTACAAGTGTTCTTTGGAAAATGCACTGCCAGAATTCATCTTTTTGAAAAGAATTTGACCTGCTTCTGATTTGTGAGATTCACAGAGTTGCTGTCCCTTAATAACAAATGTCACAATCTACTGGCAAAAAAATTGCATTTTATGTACCTTGTCTAATTATGATACTATCAATTTAACTAAAAGGTACATTGTTTTTACATGGCTTATTGTTAATAAAATATATATGATTTTGAATTTTATTTACAGACTGTAGTTATTAAAGCAATTATTTTGGTTTGAATTGCCTAAAACAAGGGAATTTTCACAGTCACTACACCTTTATCTTCAAGCCTTAAAGAAAGGTTTTGTCTTAATATATAAAAGAACCCCTTTATCCCAGAAAGAGGAAAAATAAGAGCCCCCTTTTGTTCCACATTGTAGCTTCTGCCTGTTAAGACATATGCCAGATGCCTGGCTTGACAAAGAACAGTGAGTGTCCCTGGTGATAATTGACCACGTATGGCTACCACCATCTCTGGCTTTGCTAGCCATAAATATTTATTTCAGTGAAAGAACCTTTTTTTCTCCCCATGCACTGACACTAACCAGATAAGGGCTTTCCTCTCTTTTTTTCTTTTCCTTTTTGTCCTTAAAGTTGGTGCTCTTTTTGAAAAGAAACTCAATGTTTGCATTATATATATTTTTCAGTGAGAAGCTGTCTCCCTTTAGCACACAAATTACTGCCCATTACTGGAGATTAATTCACTTAAAGAAATCTTGCAGCTTGGAAGCCCTGAAATTGTATCAAGAGATGAAAAGTGTACAAATTCTACACATACCAAATTCTTATTCCAATTTTCAGAGTATTTTCTTTTATTTTTAGATGAATCTACGTTCTGTATTTACTGTAGAGCAACAAAGGATTTTACAGCGTTATTATGAAAATGGAATGACAAATCAAAGTAAAAATTGCTTCCAGCTCATATTACAGTGTGCACAGGAGACTAAGCTGGACTTCAGTGTAGTCAGGGTAAGTATTGAGGTCTTACACTCAAATTTATAGCTTTTTATTATAAATGATATTTGCTTAATATGAAAAAAAACTAGGGCATGAAGTCACTAACTTATAAGCAACTTCATTTCCCTGCTATAAAATATCTAGTTTTTAACAAATAGAACTAATCATTTAGTATGTATTTGTTTCTATAAATACCTTGAAAACACTAAAACCTTTGCAGTGTAAACATATCCTTTTGAAAATCGTAATTGAACTAACAAATATCTTTGTAATCAATTAATTGTTGATCTTATGCTTTCTTTAAACAACAAATTAGTCTAGATACGGTCTTCCTAAGTGGTAACTGTAAAACAGGCACTTAGCATGGGAATACTGTGTACCTAGGATATTTTTTGTTGTATTCGAATTTTTCATCAATCATTTATTACTTTAGTATCTGTGTCTTTTTAGGAAAACCTAGTCTATTATATGAAAACGGAGTCCTTCTAAGAAAGATGCATGCATTTTAATGGGCTAACAAGTAAGAGACAAGAAATCCCAAGGGAGGAAATTTTTCTTTATCACAACCAAGGTTATTCAGCTGTAAATCTTGCAAGGCAATGAGAAAGTGATAGAGAGGAGGCATAAGATAAGGCTAACACAACTTGTCACTGATTTTATTGAGTGCACAGGTTCTTTCATGTTTGTTTGAACATGCTACAAATCCTACTGGTGTCAAACCTTAGTGATTTAAAGATTATTAACATTCTCATCCTTGGCATTCATTAGACTAATTTGGGAAAGAGAAAGTATGTCTGTTGTTAAGTTTATGTTCCTGTTAGATGTGCCTTCAAAGATTTTAAAAGATAAAAATCTCTTGATAAACAGAATTCTTTGAAAAATATATTTCCTAGATACTAAATGATATGTTCACCTTCAAATAGGGAATTATGCCACCATTTCTGGGTATCCAGGTTATCTGTTTCTTATTTGATGATTATCAACAATCATACAACCAGAAACACTGCCTTTTGATAGCTATATATGCCCTATTTAAAATATCTTTACAAAATGAACTTTCAGAAGAAAATATTGAATTGCCTTAGGAGAAATAATACAAATACAGGTAATATTTCAATGAATTGCACTTTAAAAATATAAACTTTTTTCTATAGTAATTTCTTTCCTGTTTTTTTCTCCTTTTATCTTACATTGCCTTACAGTGAAAAACCTTCCCAGGCAGCTATACTGTGGACTGTTATCTTTCATATTTCCAATTTGTTATTAACAATCTTCCCCTCATAACTTACCTGATTGTGCTTGAAGATTGAGAGTGCTGAAATACAAAGATTTATATTTATACTCCAAAGAGTGTGGAAATCTAAAACAAGCAATGGAAATGAAAGATATAAATTCTTAGAATGTAAGATTGCGAGTAAAATGGTATGGAAGTTATAAGCAACAGTGTAAAACAAATACATTCTCTCTAATCTAGGAAAATGTCAACTGTACTGAGAAATGAAGTGTTCCTAATCTACATCTCGAGTCAATCTTGATAGCTTTTTTAGTCAAAGGAAAATGGAGTAGAGGCTCATCACTCCACAACCTGCCCCTGCCCCTGCCCCTGCATTATTTTGCTACGTCTATATGCTCTACTTGAGACTTTTTTTTATTATTTTTGAAAAAATATTTGTTATATTTTCCTCAAAAGACCTCAAGTCTCACTGTATTAACAATTTGATAAAGGATAAAATAACATGAAAACCAAGAAGAATGCATAGAAAAAGAAAAGTTTAGAGACAGTGAATTCATAAGAGAAAACGGAAAAAAATTATGGATATCAAGCATTGGTGATTAAATGCCTTTCACCCTATTTTTTCCTATGTGTGTACTTTATTTATTCCCCACTCTAAATTGTCATCATATGGATTTTGTTTGACCCACTTTTTTCCTTCTCATCAGTGAGACATTTACAGGGAGAATCATTTACGTATGATAAGCAATGGTAAATTGTGTATTCCATTCAACTTTCAGTAAAATTTAATTCAGTTATTAGGCAATGAATTTTTATTATTGTCAACAATGGAAATATTTTTAAAATATATACTTTCCTACTTTTCTTCAATACAGCATGTGGAAAACAACTGAATCCTTAACTTTTTGACTCAAGGTTTTCATTATGGAAATCAATTATATTGTGCTTTAAAATAATAATACTCACAATGTGGTAACATACATAGGATTAATTTCCCCTTTATTTAAGAATCACAGACTAGTATTTAATTTTTTAAGTTAGTTTTGTTGTTTTCCTTTTATCTTCTTTTTAGTGTGCAATATCTAGTGAACATTTTTAGTTTTGCTGCTATAAGGGTGCCTTCCAAAACAGTCTCTATCACCAATGCCCCTGGTTTTGTTATTTCTAATTCGCTGTAGACTACAATGCCATGTTTGTTAAAATTATATATAAAATCATTAAAGTGAGTCTTAAGGTTAGGGGTTGTCCTACTAGGGAAGTCCATGGATCTTATGACATTGGCCATGTTCTGAATAAATGAGGTTGCTAGATAGTTGCTTCATATATGCATATTTATTATTCTATTATTCCATTTTATTTTTGATGAGTACATAATATAAATATCTAGCAAGCTATATAATAGCTATACATAATATACATTATATGCATAAACTATAAACATACACAAAGTATACGTATCAACTATGTAAGTAAGCCACGTAAATTTGCAATGCACTAAGACACTCTTAGACTTCCTCAGTTGAGATATGTATTGTGTGATGAGAACGTAGTAGGTTGTGTTGTTTTTCATAAATAGAGCCCAGAGTTGCCTGCCAGGTGTAATAGTTCTTGAATCCCAATTGTATTAGTTCACAAGCTTCTTCAGCCATGTGGATACATTTTTTCAAAGTTGTACAAATACATTAGTCCCCCCATACATTTTTTTACTTGAAAAGACAAAGTACAGCAGTTTGTTTGGAATATTTGTAAAATGTACCTTTTAGGAAATTATATTTATTCAAAAACGTTCCTTTTTAAATATGTCTCTTGGGTATAAATATTAAAGACTTTTAGTTTTTTCCATTCTCTCCTTTGACATTTATACTCACATGTCCTTCCAATTGTGATTTTTCACTCCTGCTGTTTCATGAAAGTAAATAAGATTGAGTTTAAAATTTCCACTGCTGCATGTGAAGCAAAAGGGAGCATCAGTTTCTGGAACATTTTCTTTACGGAAAAAATTATAATTAAAAAAGTGAAATGATAAACAAAGATTATTATTTCAGAAATTTCTAATCACTGCATGTGGGGTAGTGGAAGGTAAATGTGCTTTGAATTCAGGTAGAATTGACTTTGAATCTTTCCTCTGCCACTAGCTGGCAGGATATCTTTCGGCACAGTCTACTTATTTCTGCACCTCAGTTTCTTCATTAATAAAATTAGAAAAACCCTACCAAAGAAGCCAATATTTATAAAGCAGACATAATGGAGATTCAATATATGTTAGCTTTTATTTTCTGTATTATAGCAGCATTTGTGTTGCTTATTATACATCAGATGTGGTCTTCGGAAACACATCATACAAAACGCTAAGTAAATATACCCAGTATTATGTTTGTGTAAGGCTAGCTCATTTAATGTTTTCATGTACCTACTTCTTTTGTTTAATTCTTAATAGAAAAATGTGTTTTGGTAGTTTATAATATGTTATGCATTTTGGAATAATTATAAGTTTGATAATCACTTTATGGAATGTATTATAATTGCGTATTTTAGGAAGAGTCATGATTCAGTGCAATAATACCAAGGTAATTATAATAAATTACTTGTATAAAAGTGTGAATTTTGTAATCAAATCTTAAATGCCAACCACTGGCATTATTTTTATTAGTAATTTTTTTTCTGGTTATGAAAGTAATATATATTCATTCTATAAAATTTAGTATGTAGAGAAAAGAAAATAACTACTATATATTAATGACAAACTGAAAAAAAGTATTTGCAACTTGTGACAAAGTGTTACTATCTTTAGTAGAAAATTGCTTTTGCAAATCAATTTATAAAGACAAACACCCCAATATAAAAATGGATAAAGGTAAAGGAAATACAATTCTATCAAAGTAATATAGTGATCATAGAAATTCTAATCAAAACAGCAATTACATACCTTTTATTAACTCTCAAACTAGTAAAGGCTACAAAAGATAATACAAACTGTTAGTGGGAGTAGAGGAAACCATAACACTCATACATTGGAGGGTACTTTGAAAGCATCAGAGCATCATAGTTCCCTTCTAGTATTTTATTCTAATGAACCAAGGGAACAAATCATTGAAACACAGTTTATAATAATAAATACCTAAAAATAATATAGATTAGCTGTATTAAATTAGCCAAGTTAATATATATCCATATAAAAATATCATTAAACTTGAAGATTGCAAACATATATATGCTTCAAAATCCTATGAACACTTTGTAATGTCATTAGTCTACCTTTAGTATGCTTTCAATTAGCCATTATCATTAATAAATACATTGTCATTAATAAATTCATGATGAAGATCGTCACACATAAACTTTGATTTACATCTGTGATTATTTTTAATATAAATTTCCAGGAAAGTATTTGCTAGATCAAAGTATATAAACATTTTTATAATTCTTGATATGTAGTAATTGGATGGGTTTTGAGGAAAAGAAGAGCAATAATATACTGTAGTCTTAAAGTTCCTAGATATTTGGGAGACTTTGATCATGTTTGCCCTATACTTTACTTACTGTGTCTTTCATAATATCTTTTTAACTTTACCTTTGTGTAGGCCTCAGTTCATTCTAAGACAAATGAGAATAGAATTTATAATCTAGTAATTGTTTTTTTCTTGCATTATTGCTAATTTTTTTAAAATACTATTTTTTATCCTTCCAGACGTGGGTTGGCAATAAGAGAAGAAAAATGAGTAGTAAGAATTCCGAATCAGGAACAACAACAGCAACTGTTTCTGGTACCTCTTTAGCAGCTCCAGACATTACAGTCAGAAATGTGGTTAATATTGCTCAACCCTCAAGCCAACAGTCTTCTTGGACATCAGCCAATAATGACGTCATTGTAACTGGTATATACAGTCCAGCCAGTTCAGCAAGTAGACAAGGGACAACCAAGTATACAAATACACAAATTACAGAAGCACATAAAACTCCTATTCAGAAAACAGCCAGTAAAAACGATACTGAATTTCAGTTGCACATTCCTGTTCAAAGACAAGTAGCACACTGTAAAAATGCCTCTTTGCTCCTGGGTGAAAAAACAATTATTTTGTCACGACAGACAAGTGTGGTAAATGCTGGAAACTCAGTATACAATCACGCAAAGAAAAACTATGGGAGCTCTTCAGTACAAGCTTCTGAAATGACAGTACCTCAAAAGCCATCTGTGTGCCACCGACCTTGCAAAATTGAACCAGTTGGGATTCAAAGGTCATATAAGCCTGAACACACAGGTCTGGCATCACATAACTTATGTGGACAAAAGCCAACTATTAGAGACCCTTACTGTAGAACCCAAAATTTGGAAATCCGTGAAGTTTTTTCACTGGCAGTTAGTGATTACCCCCAGAGAATTCTGGGGGGCAATGTTCCGCAGAAGCCTAGCTCAGCAGAAGGAACTTGTTTGTCCATTGCAATGGAGACAGGAGATGCTGAGGATGAATATGCCAGAGAGGAAGAGTTGGCATCAATGGGAGCACAGATACCAACCTACTCAAGGTTTTATGAAAGTGGCAGTTCCCTTCGAGCTGAGAACCAAAGTACAACTTTGCCAGGACCAGGAAGAAATATGCCAAATTCACAAATGGTGAATATCAGAGATTTGTCAGACAATGTACTGTATCAAACTAGAGACTACCATTTGACACCACGGACCTCATTACACACAGCCTCGAGTACAATGTACAGTACTACAAATCCATCACGGAATAACTTTTCTCCACATTTTGCATCATCAAGCCAATTGAGGTTATCACAAAACCAAAACAATTACCAGGTAACGTATAAAATTATTTTGTAACTGCTTTAAAAAGCTGTGTTTGGTTTTTAATAAATTATGTTCATATCCAGTTAGACTTGGGACCTGGGTCATTCAACTCGTATTTTAAAGTAGCAAAATTTTTGACTCAGAGCTATGTTTTGGGCTCAACTCCTTGAAGAGTCTTGTGATTTCTTTGTCATGTTTAAAATGATGAGTTTTCTTTTAACGGAATATAGTCATTTTTATAACATGGCAGTTTTCCCTTGACATTTAAAATGATTTTGTTCAGGAAATGGTAGCTTTATGGGAAGCATCGCATTTCCCATCACTAAAATAGGATTAAATTGGCTAGACTCATCCTCTTGAACATAGATTATTCCTGTAATGGTCTTTACTTACAGTTTGGGGAGATGTCACTCAGTGAATGGTGCCTTCTCTGGGTATAGAGCCAGGCAAGTCAATCATTTCTCCAGGTGTCGGTGGTTGAGAAGTCAGCGCCTGCGATAGCAGCCAAGTGCTTCTTCTGAAAGCAAATGCTTCATTAAAACATTGTTTACCACTATAATATAAATATCTTTCTAAATATAAATAATCTTTCTAAAAATGTTCATAGGGAAATGTCATATTCAGAGTAAGAATGAAGGCAATTTTAGACCTGTGCACACAAAATAGGTGTTATTTCTTTGCCATTTCACATATTCATTGTCCAGATGTACTTCAAATAAATTGTTTAGTGATGAGGTATACACTTACCTCAGAACATCGCTTAAGGCCATGGTTCTTCTCTGAAAAAAAAATGTGTTTTACAGAATATGAATAACAGAACATGGCTGTTTGTATTTTGCTTTCTACTGGCTAGACCCTCTTGTCTGTTCAACCACCATACTTAAGGTTTAACTAGATTTAAGAATCTTCCAGGCTGTTTGCAACCAATTCAATGAACTGTCTTCTGGGGAAGGGAGGAAGGAAAGAGAGGGAGGGGGAGAAGGAGAAGGAGAGGGGAAGGAGGAGAAGAGGGAGTGGGAGAGAGAGAGAGAGAGAGATCGATCTTGCATTATCTAGCTTGCTGGCCCACTCCGCAAAAGCCTGCAACAGTAGGGACTGAACCAGGCAGAACCCTGGAGCTAGAAACTCAATCTGGATCTCCCCAATGGGTGGCAGAGACCCAATTACTTGAGCCATCACATGCAGTCTCCCAGAATGTGCATTAGCAGGAAGCTGAAATTCGGAGTGGAGCCAGAAAACAAACCCAGGCACTTTGACATGAGATGTAGATGTACCAAACAGCCTCTTAACCACTGTACTCAGTGCCCACCCACCCTCATATTCTCTTAACTCCCTCCTTCTTAAAGCTCACTGCTTCAAAATTAAAACCAGTAACAGTACAGAAGTGCTCCTCTGGCACCTGGCCCTAGCAGAAGAGTACCCCATTATAATTATATAGTCATTTTTATTGAAAAGATGTCTCTCTGTCTCTACCTCTCTTCCGTTCCCTGGTCCACTCCCCAGATGGCCGCAACAGCCGGGGCTGGGCCAGGCCAAAGCTGGGAGCCAGCAGCTTCTTCCAGGTCTCCCATTTGGGTAGCAGGGGCTTGAGCACTTGAACCATCTTCTGCTGCTTTCCCAGACACGTTAGCAAGGGGCTGAATCCCAGACTCATTAGCAAGGAGCTGAATGGGAAGCAAGGCAGCAGGGAATTTAATCGGCACCTATATGGGATGAGGGTGTTTCAGGTAGCGGCTTGACTGGCTTCACCACAATGCTGACCTCTTTAAGCAGATTTTAATTACTTGCCCAAGAAAAATTCCAGCTCAGAAATCTGTTATCCATCTTGGTGTTTTTCTGCTTTACCATTCAGCATGACTATTTGAACTCTAATGTGAGTTACTAAAAGCCTCAACAATGCAGAGTTTAATTTTTAATTTGTCCTAAGTACACCACTCCCCGAAAGTTAATTTAACCTGTGGTTTTACCTTTTTATAGACTCTTTTTTCTGACAGAACTTTTAAAGAAACTACATTTTTTAATGAAAAGAACCTTTTAAATGTATTAAAACTTAGTAATTTTTTTTGAATACCAATCTCCTTAAAAGGAAAGCAGCTTGACATAACAATTTAGAGCATGAGCTTGGAGCCTGGACAGAGTGACATTCAAATCTGGCCACTTTCTACTTGTATGACCTCTAGCAAGTGACTTAACCTCTCTGTGTAAGAGTTTCCTTATTTGTATAAGGTAGTGAACAATGCCTACTTCACAGGAATGCTGTCATGTGAAATGACAGTCTGTGCTAGGATCCTTGTACCTTCCCTGGCACATAAGCCGCCTTATGCATATGAACTCAGAACTGGAAAGTTAATGAAACTCTGGTAGTTCATTTCTCCTTTACATCCCATTTCAAGTAAAATATCACTGAACCCACAATCATCCTAGAGTAATTGAAGAAAAAATAGCACGCAATACTGTCTGAAAGACTGGAGGTCAGCTGTCTCCCTCATCAAAACTTAAATCCCATATATGCCTGTCTATATTATACCAGATTCCTTCAAGCCAGTTTGACCTGTGATAGTATGGTAGAGAAAGTTTAAAGAGAACCTTTTAAAGAAAGATATTCTAGTATAGTTTTAATGATCTGTGGTTATTTTAAAATTTATTATATATGAGTGAAATGATCATATTTTCATTTGATTATTGTTTATAGCCCTTGTCCATATTCCCATTGAACTAGCACCTTTTAACTTGTTGAACTCTGTTTAGTAGAGCATTAAGCCTTTGACTATAATGTGAATTAAAAATATGTTATCTCAAAAATTAACAAATAAGGAAAGAGTGAGCGTGAAAAAGAGGAAGGAAGGAAGGAAGGAAGGAAGGAAGGAAGGAAGGAAGGAGGGAGGGAGGGACGAGGCGAGGGAGTAAGTTCATTATATTATAAAATTATATCTGTGAACTACACAGAATCTGTCCTCTTTGTATGGATATCACATTAACTTGAGAATTGATGAGAATTGTGTTGTAGTAATTATCAAGCATTTGCTATGATCCTGAGAGTCTAATGTATTAATAAAATCCTTAAAAAGGAGAAAATCTTTAGGGTATCACTTTACCCTATCTTTCTTTTAGATGGGAATTGGGGAAACCAAAGCATCCTGAGAAGGTGGAATCCATGAAGGTTATCCTCTAAGGTTTTGACGAAGCTATACTCTCAACAGTGTTGGAACAGGACTTAAAGAGCCTATTGTCAGCTTGACAACTTTTCTATCTATAAAAATGTAATCAAGCAAAAAAATGTCTTGGTTTTCTGACTCTGGGACTTTATTACAGAGAAGTCTGTCTTTTCTCCCTGTTAAACCAATTAACTTCAAGCTGAGATCCCACTCCTGGAGGCTAGTCTAGTTCCAAGCTATCCAGCAGAATAAGTACAGGTGCAGGAATTTGATAGAGTAATTAAGATGCTAGTTTGGATACTTGTATCCCATAAAGCAGTTCCTGTGTTAGAGCCCTGGCTCTTTTCCCAATTCCAACTTCCTGCTAATGCATACCCTAGGAGACAGTAGTGATGGCTCAAGTTACCTGGGTTCCTGACACCCATGTGGGAGACTCAGACTGAGTTAATAGCTCCTGACTTTAGCCTGGTCCATCCCCACTATGGCAAGCTTTTGGGGAGTGAACGAGCAGATGGTGATTCGCTCTCCCTCTCTCCCTCTCTCCCTCTCTCCCTCTCTCCCTCTCTCCCTCTCCCTCTCCCTCTTCCTCTCCCTCTCCACTTTCAAATAAATACAATAAATATTTTTAAGAGAATAAGTTCAAATTGAAGAAATTCTAGAAGATGATAAGTTGAAATTAGTTGTTTTGCAGCCTCTTGGGAATACTATATTAAGGGTTGAATTGGTATGAAAGAAACTGACAGGAGGTGACTATACCAGGATATTGCAATTCCATTCAAAAAACTGTTCACACAAACCTCATTCATGGAGCCTGATTACAACCATATTGATTTCTTAGGTGCCATTTATTTTTCATGTTATCTCCATGTCAGGAATAAATTTAATAAGTAAATTATCATAAAAGAACTGCTATGATCACAGTTTATTAAAAATTATATGTGTAAGCATATTGAAGCATTTTGGAAGACAAATGCTATAAATACAGGTTTTTTTGTTATAGTACTATTGTGGCTTGATAATTCACTGAATTCCTATCTCTCATGGACTTCATAAGTTCTTAGAAATTAATAGAAGTTGAAACTTTGAGGTTCCTCTAAAAATACCTTCCAGGGGCTGGTGTTTTGATGCAGCAAGTTCAGCTGCTGCCTGGAATTCCAGCATTTCAAATTAGAGCATCAGTTCAAGTCCCAGCTATTCCACTTCTGATCCCACTCCCTGCTAAAGTGCCTGGGAGAGCAGCAGAGGATGATAGTCCATGTACTTGGACTCCTGTTGCCCAGGTGGGAGATCTGGATGGATTTCCAGACTGAAGGATTTCCAGGCTCCTAGCATCAGCCTGGCCCAGCCCCAGCCATTGCAGCCATTTGAGGGAGGAGTGAACCAGCAGATGGAAGATTCTCTCACCTCTCTCACTCTAGCTCTCATTCCCGCTCTCTGTAACTCTCCCTGTCAAATAAATAAATCTTATTTCTAAAAAAATCAATTTACAAATATAATATATCCCCTTGGTAAATGTGCTTTGTTACTTCCAACTTTCTTCACTATTTGTGGACTTCAGAACTTTTTAGAAATCTAAACTTTGAAGTTTCATAGTTGAATGAACTTTATAGGTCATGACATAGTATCAATACAAATTATATTTTTACCTGAGGAAATGCGGGCCAGTAAAATTGAATGATTTGGTCAAAATAATGCTAGGGACGCATTCAAGTTTTGAAAAAGGAACTGCAATGTGAGTTGAGTAGGTAGTTTTATCAAGGATTATTGTTAAATAATTTTATTGAGCTAGAATTGCAATACAATGCAATATAGAATCCATACTTTAAAAGTGCACAATTCAGTAGTTTTTAATAT